TTGGATATTTGACAAAGTTAGAACGAAGAATAAAAATCTCACCAGTCCTGACCTCATACCATTTAAATTTTTTAAAGATAAACTTTAAAGGAGGATTCACTTTCCGTTTTACTATCTGATGACGTCAAACCCACGAGCGTTATCAAGACACGCCGTCGAGAGTTTAATATCCAGATAATTTATACGAGATCAGTCAACAGAGATGATTCCGACAGAAGCACTATAATTTATTCCTTCCCTCTAACTCACCAGCAGCGAACGCTCTTCTGAGCACACGGCAAAGAGGCAATAAGGGAGTTTTTGGGACGGAAAGGAGGAGAGGGAATGAAGAAGAAGAATGTGTTATTTGGCGCCAGGTGATAAAAGATCGTGGCAGTCAGCCATTAGGCGTTCGGTAACAGAATGCTCCTGTTAAATTATACATAATTTAAACAATGTGATTTTCACACACACGTGAGAGTCTTAAAATCAACGTGTGTTTAAAAGAAAAAAATTGGATTCAAGGGGGAAAAAACCAGTTTGGGTTCACGCGCAGAGGTAAACACTTTTTGGTTATTTCATTTTCGAAAGAAAGAAATGTTTAATAACTGTTGTTAGTTTCATGGTTGAGTTAAATATATAATCATTTTTGGCATTTTTAAGAGCTGCAGGGAGTAATACAGGTCAGAGCAGCCAGGTAGTTGTTGTTTCTGAAGAGCCGGAGGGAATGAATTGCACACCTCTCAGCAACGTCACCGAAGTCTTGTGACCGTGTCCTGCGTTCGTGTGGAAAACTACTCGTGCGGCCGCATGAAATCAGACCGCAAATTGCTTACACGTAGAAATGGCGAAAGAAAAAAAAAAGTGGACTCCATTAAACACATGTGTAAACAGCTGTCCCGCTTCCTCTTCCAGCAGCTCGGGAAAGTGTTTGCCGAAGGATTGGACCACATATGGGAATCACCCTGCTAACAGGAGCGTTTGCAAAGCTGCGTCAACGCGCGGGTCGCCTGCRAGGGAGGCTGCTTATTGTACTTTTAGGACACACACACACAGAAAAGCTTTCATTAAAGTGCATGTTTAGAGTCAGCACAAAACCGGGGACGAATACACACCTGGGCTGGATAAGCTTGCCCACTTGAGCACACAAATGCCCACACTCTGAGTCAGCAGAAACAGKAGCTCGGTGACACCGCTAATGAACCCAAGTGTTATTCTTCAATTTAACGCTGGACAAGGCCGAGGAACTCCTCTCAGCTCTGATTCGGTTACACAAATCCCCTCTTTTTTTTTTCACTCTTTCTCATTATCTGTCACTCTGCGGCTCTGCTTTCTTGCTTTATCACGCCTCGATTTTCTGCACTGTAAAGTCAGATTGTTTGCCTCGCATTCCACCTAAYGCACGATAAGGTATGAGTCGCAGCAGGCCGGCCCTGTGCGGCAGAGACGTAGCTGCTGCCTGATGTCAGTGCTTATCAGCRCCTTACATTTCCGTATTGCCCATCAATCTGTCAGCAAGCAGGAAGGTAGACAAAACATGGGCCTCCTGCAGCAGATCGTCCAGAAGAGGGCATCATAACTGTGCGGAGMCAGATAATGTAAGATTTACTGCACATAAACAGCACCAGAGTTATGTTCTTTAAAAGATATATGCTAAACATGWCTTCATTTAGTATTTAGTGGCTACTATAAGAATTTTGAATGGATTACTAACCCTCAATAAAAAAGATTAATGTAAGATTTTCCTCAGGCAGAAACCATGTGAAGGTTTTTTTTTTTATTTGTAACATAAAAAACTTTTTCAACGCCATTTTCTTTTTTAGTTTTTTATCACAGTTTAGGATTATTTTATAAAAATGATTCMCTGATATATATTTTACATTAATGTTTTTGTAATGAAGGTAAAACATAAATGTTGTCGATTTTTTTCGACTTGGTTTATATTTGAATGTTACTAATTAAACAAATAAGGATTACACAGTCTCAACTTTGGTTTATTTTATTTTATTTTATTTTTTGCTGTCATGAAAGATGGGCAATCATGTAAAGGGTCTGTGTGCATATTTGTTTGTCTGTTAGCAAAAAATCTTGTCAACTACTAGACAGATTTTATTGATACAACTGATTATTTGCGTTCATCTCAGTTCAAAATAGCCGCCACAGTGAATCAACCGTGACAAACACTAAAAAATGGCTAAAACTATTCTAATTTTACAGATACTGGGCTAAGATTCAGTGTGGCAGGTGTCATCAAAAAAACATATGAACACTAACAGATTGTGCATCGTCTTTGAAACTGTGGCGTTCATGTTTCTGTCAGCAAAATATCTCTTGAGCTTTGTGACACTTAAGATTAAAATGTGTCCCATCTTTTATTTATTTCAATAACCCCAAGTGGACTTTTCATAGTGACATGACCCCAGCTTTGGAAATCACTGCTCTAACAATGAAGGCTAGTGACTTTTTCATTATTTTGTGCTTTTATTTTGAAATAAAAATGACACATTTACAACATTATTATATATAGGCCTATCCTATTGCAGTCACTTTAGAAGGATTTATGTCTAATGGAGGTTTTTAGGGTTTAAATGGGTTTTCCATCACTGCCATTCAAGAAAAGAGACTATTTGTTTCTTATTTCTCCAGGGTTTTTTTTGGTCCTTTTCTCAGAAAGAAGCGGGTCAAAAATCGTGATGAAGCACCACGGACATCCTTCTCTCCGCCTCCTCCCGCCCCTCGGGCGGGGAGGACAAAGAGCTGCAGCTCGCGGTCAGCGCAGCTTCTTGACCAGGCGGTTCCTCTTCCTCTTCGCCTCTTGCTGAGTGAGTAAAAGCTCAGCTGGACGGACAGGAAGTCACGACGTAAATGGATATATGCGTGCTCGCCGGGATGCGCCAACCGGAAAATTAAAAAAAAAAAATTCCCGACGACGTCTTATGACGGTTTATGGCCAGATAAACGTTACGCAGCGCACGCACGCACGACGTAGCCTGAAGCTACGTGTCAGGCCACACGCGCGTGCCAGCTTGGGAGTCCTCTTTCGTGGAAAAGACGGTGTTCCACGTGGGGTAGCTGAAACCACGAGTGGAAAATATGCCCCTCCGCCCACCCGCCCCTCGTTTTTCCTATCGCCTGGAAATTAAAAGTAGATAGTGGTGCTGATTATAGCTGTCCTCTTAGAATCACTGCTGAAATCAACCTGAAGAAGGAAAAAAAAATAGGGAATAAATTATTGTTAAGGGATGTAAATGCGTTTACTTCTCCAAAACTGAGAGTGGAAATATGACCATTTTTAAATTAAAGGCCTTGCATTTCTTAAAGGCACAGTGTGTAGGATTTTGTCAATTCTTTTAGCCGAAATTGAAATAATCACTAATGACAATAATAAAAAAAAAACATGTCTAATCATTGCAGACAAAGACCTTGTTTTATTATTTTTACCTTATAAAAAGCTGTTTTTATCTCCATGGTCGCGGGTCGCCACTACAGGCAGCCGCCATCTTGTCTACGAAGGCTCATGAAGGACAAACTGCGGTGG